TAGTGTAGTACAAAGTACAGATACTTGATGTAAAATGTAGTGGAGTAAAAGTCGGAAGTGCCCACATTAAACTCTACTTAAGTGAAGTATAGATACATGAACAATGTACTTGAGTACAGTAACAAAGTACTTGTACTTGGCTACATCCCACCACTGCCAGTCGGTGAGCTCAGTTTGTGCTGAAGTGGACGCCCCTCACCTGCAGAGCTGCAGCTTCCATTGAGTCTACATCTTTTGCTTCATGTTAATCTGCTGTAATAATCCTTTGTTAAATACACCAGAATGCAGGAAATGGCATCGACTTTATTCAAAAATCTCGGGGGGAGGACCCCCCCCCCCCCAGAAGGTTGTGAACCACTGAGTTAGACGTCAGCCTGCTGCTGAGTAACTGCTGCAGCTGTTTGATTCATGATTACCCAACACCCCCCATCGGACTCCTCCCCCCCCCACACACACACATGTGACCCACACCTGTTGGCTAATTAGCAGCTCTAACCATGTTGGCGTGCGTCAGACAGGAATAGCACCTGATCCCAACAGGAAGCTCAGCGGGATAATGGCATTACCTGGACGACAGCCAATCAGGCGGCAGCTTGAGCTCCGTCAGGCTCTTAAGCCAATCAGAGATCAGGGAACGAGTGGATCAGGAAATGGAGCGAAAAGTCCCCGAGCTGTGACTGACAGGCGCTGTTCATTCATAAAAATCCTGCTGTGGTGGACGATGTTTGCTTGTTTACGTGGTAAGATTGTTTATTCATCTTCTGTTTGCTTCACTGTGAACGAGATTATTGATCAGTTCTGTAATCTGGATTATCACCGTGTGGTGAGGCTGAAACCTTTCAGCTCTTTCGGTCTGTTAGGTTCAGGTTTGGTTGTTTGTGGTCATTATGTCGCTCAGATTATCTGAATCAGATTGAATTATGGGTAATTTGAGCTTAAACTGCAGCAGATTTAAATGTGGGTTCTGAAGTGTTCCGTTTGTCTCAGTCGACGTTTCCCCACAAGTTTGAGTTGTTTTTATTTTTACTTGGTTTAAGAGAACAAACAGAACCAGGAACGGACCCATAATAAGATCAGCCGGGCCCGCCGGGTTCTGCTGTTTGCTCCTGATATTGAATTAAGAGGCAGCTGAACACTCACACACACACACACACACACACACACACACACACACACACACACACCTCTAACATGATTTAAATGGACGATCTGATATTTTACAGGAAATGAAACCAGCTTGACGTTAGTTTTTGCTCAGACGAGGCAGAACCTCCGAGAAGACGTTTAAACTTCTGCTGGACTCTCTTCTTCATGAACTTCTCACCCTTCCCTGCTCCGTTTACTCGTTTTATTGACACGTTGTGTGATGACGGGTTCTCCTGTAGTTCTGGATGTGGAACAGACCTGATCTCTGTTTCAGTACCTGGCCGTGGACGTGAGGAGGCTGAACGTCAGTCTTCTTCGGTGGTTCCGGGAGGGCGTGGCGGCGGCGCTGGGCGTTCCCGTGCGACACGTTCACATTCACCAGCTGAACGTAAGTCCAACGCTCGTCCCTAACCCTTTGCTCCGCCCACTTTTCCTGAATGGCACCTGCTCTTTCAGGAGGAGAAAAATGGCATCGAGATCTTCGTGTCCTCTGGTAGGCGGGGCATCTGGGAGCCCCGCCCAGCCGAGGAGGTCATCCAGTCGCTGAACGTCAGGGTGCTCAATCGCCACCTGGGCCACTTGGGCATCACCGAGGTCTCGTCTGAGGTGAGAGTTCCTCTGAGGCTCGTTAGGAGGGTTCGTTAGTCACCGTGGAAACGGAGCAGATGTTTCTGAATATTTAAAAAAATCTAAATTGTTTTTGGTGATTAATTTCACTGAAACTGTTTTATTAAAAAGATGTGCTGTCTTTAGAAAAACGTCGTGCAGGGCGAGCAGAGGGATCAGACGTGGAGCAGAGAGGGTTTCTCCACGGTGCTCCTCCTCTTCACGCTCTTCATCATCGTCATCACCTGCCTGATGGTAAAACCCGATCGACGAAGAAACTTCACATCGTTCAGACGTTCATCTAAACTCCTGCTGAGCTTCAGGAGATCGAATCAGTTAAACAGATTCATTGATCAGGACAGCCAAACAAAATAACAACATTTAATGTGCTAGTTTTATCAAAAGGCTTCAAATATTCACATATTTTAACAAAACTTAAAAACTAATCAGTTTTCAGATTATATGATTATAACAAACCAAAAGGTATAAAATATTTTAAGAGAGGAACGAGTTCAAAATAAGGATATTCAAAATGATCAACAAAAAAAAGTTAAAATCCTTCACTATTTTAAAATAAAAACTTAAAAATAAACATCAGCACACACAAGTAGATGGATAAACAAATATTATAAAATTAAAAGAAAATGAATAAAACAACAAATACATTTAATTATAATAAATGTAACAAAGATGTTTCATGTTTTAGATGAAATATGGAGCCATAAATTGTTGAATAAAAACTTTTTATTATTTTATATTTAATGTTTTCAGTGCTGACAGCAGGGGGCGCTGCTGCACAGAAATTAACTCCACATTTAAATGTTTTTAAAGAAGTATGAGCTTTGATCTGATAAAGTCATAAACGTTATTTAAAGTGTTTCTTTGCAGCTGCAGACGTGAACAAATTACTCTTCAGATTTTAGTGAAACGTAGAAAATGAACCACGTTTGTGAGATTTTTAACCAAAGCTCGAGTTTGAGGAGAAACAGGAAACAGGAAGTTGAAATTCGTTACGCGAGGATGGTTTTATTTAGTTATCTTCTGCAGGTTCATTATTTATATTCTATTCTTTTTGTTGTTGCTGTTTTTTAAGATGTTTTGCTTCTTTGGGCAGCCTAAAAGTCCAAAGGTTATAAAATAATCCAAATTCATTTGGCTTTTCATTATCAAAATAATTTAGGTTAATAATTTCAGGTTTGTTTAAACTTTATTGTTCTTTAATCTGCAACGTTTTAAAATGTTAATTGTTTTTGTTGTGTTGCTGTCGTCTGATTTGATTTGAACTCACTTTGGTCAGTTGTTTTTATTCTGCCGCACAATAAAACGATAAGTTTTATTAAGTTTGAACGTTGAGCTTCCTCTGGTCAACCCGTGTGTTTTAAAGGTTTGAAACTTTCAACAGTTTTTATTAAACTATTTCACACATTTTAGCTTTGACATTTTTTTACATTAAATCTTTTTAAAATCTTTTTTCTCTGCAGGTTTTGTATCGAATAAAAGAGAAGGTTCAGATTTCTGAGAGGCACCTTAAAGCTCCACCCCCCAACCTTCACCTGAGCCCACCTGTCCCTCTTGGCCCCGCCCAGAGGTCAAAGGCCACCAAGGTGCGTAGACGTCTTTCTGCTACCTGCTGTAAAGTGTTGACCGCTCATTGTTGATGGTTTCCTTCAGGTTGTGACGTCAGAAAGCATGGTCCAATCTGAGCTTCTGCCTGCTGTGGCCACGCCCATTCACCAGCAGCAGCCAATCATAGCCTGCCGCCGCCTCGCTCCTCCTGTTGCCTCTCTGACCTGGTGAGTCCCCGTAAAGTTTTAATTAAATCTTTGTCAGAAAAGTTTCCAGCTGCTTTTCTCAGTTCGAGTTTCTACATTTGTTAGACTCGCATCGTTCTGTGGTTTCCTTGTAGCTCCGCCCCTGTGCCCATCATTAGCAGTGAAGACCACGCCCCCTCATCAGGTGTTACCCTGGTGAATACCAGTAACGAGCTGAAGCCCTGCCCCTCCCCTTTCAGGATGAAACCTGCTGCAGGACTACAGGAAAGGTGAGAGTTGGTTCAGTTTCCTCAGAGAACGTTCAAGAACCCCCCCCCC